TTTTAAAAACATTTTGGGTTCTGGTTAGCCTGAGAAATTTTGCAACTCTGGTAGGTGATAGTGTTTCCTTTGTTGGGCTGTGGCTAAATGTTTGTGCCAGATAGAAGTGGTGGGTATGAGGTTTTTAGCTGCATGTTCCCTCTACAGGTGGCTGTAAGAACCAGACCAGAGTGGCAACTTGTCTTAGACACCTGCCTGTTTTCTCTGCTGGGGACAGGATGAGGTGTCTCAGCTTATCTCTTATTCCTGTGTTTCAGACCCTCTATACATCAACCCCAGTGTGGATTTCCTCTTTGACTGTGGGCTGGTGGGCCCTGAAGATGTGTCCACAGAGCAAGAGCTGCCTCGTGCTGTCCGAAAGGTGAGCTCTTAGTAGGTACTGCCTGCTCAAAGCCTTGTGGATTTGGAGTGGGAGTTGCCATCTGGGACATCGTCTGAGGTGAGGTGTGCTGGGGAGGTTGTACTCCCTCCCTTCAGGGCATACCTGGCCTGCGGGCCACTCTCTGAATGGAAATATGTTCCTGTTACTATAAAGCAGCCCTGAATGCAACATGCCATGTGAGAGCAGGCCTCTTCCCTGCATGTGGTTCTCATAACTAATGGGTCTTGTTAACTTGACTGTCAGCAGAAGGATGCCTGCTGGCATTGGCGCAGGCACGCTGGGAGGGAACTAGCTGCCAGCAGGTCTGAGGATCAGCTGGGAAACTTGCATCTGTCCCAGGTACATGCCTAATCTCACAGTACACCTCTCTGCAGGGACAGAAGCGTCTGGTGCTCTCTGAAAGCTGTTCCCGAGACTCAATGAGCAGTCAGCCCAGCTGCACAGCACTGAACTACTCCTATGGTGTGAATGCCTGGAAGTCCTGGGTGCAAGCCAAATATGCAGGGGGAGAGACCAGCAAGGGAGAGGAGCTGCGCTTTGGCCGTAAGTGTCCTGTCTGTATGGGGCAGAGTGGCAGGCACCTCCCAGCAGCTGGGTCCCAGCCCATCGAGGTGCTTCTCACCTTGCAGGATATTGTCTGAGGCTGCAGTGTTTGTTTCCACAGCCAAGCCCATTAGGATCAAAGAAGACATCCTGGCCTGTACAGCAGCTGAACTCAACTATGGCCTGGCTCAGTTTGTCAAGGAAATAACGCGGCCCAATGGAGAGCGCTATGAACCAGACAGCATCTATTACCTTTGCCTTGGCATCCAGCAGGTGAGGGAAGGCTTCTTGTCCTCACTTCCTTCACAGCCAGACCTGGGGGTCACATCTGATGAGGGAAAGTTCTTACCCTTTATTTTGCCTTCTGGAGACCTATGACAGCAATATACCTGGTTCAGTTTTTGTTCCCGAGCCCAGTGGGAGGTGACAGGCATTCCCCATCCTTGTACCCAAGGAGCATGTCCTAGAGGAAGACTGAGTGAAGTATCCAAATTCAGTCTCAGTCCCTTCTCGTTCATCAACTCTGCTTTGTGATGCTGTGCAGTTTCTCACAGCTTTCAGGAATGGATGCTTATAGCTAAGCATCTGCTCTGCAACTCTGCCTGTGCAGTCCTGAGCTCTGTGTGTGTCCTGGGCTTTATGGGAAGGGTTTGCATTCCAGGTACTGCTGTCTCTCTTGACTGTGTGTTCTGTTCTTTCTAGTACCTGCTTGAGAACAATCGTATGGTGAATATATTTACAGACCTTTACTACCTGACCTTCGTGCAGGAGCTGAACAAGTCCCTGAGTGGCTGGCAACCCACAGTCTTACCAAACAGTACGTGTCTCCATATTACCTTGACTTATCACACACATTACCCATTTATTCTTCTTGCCTTGGATCCTCCAGTCTGTTTGCGTTCCTCCAGCCTCAGTTTTCTTTCTTGGCACAGGCAGTCCTGTTCCACTGCGTTTTAGGGTCATCCTGACCCATAATGACAGCAGAGCCAATCTGGTTTATGCCTCAGCAACTTTGTTTCCCAGAGTCAGGCTGACTGGGAACAGAGTGTGGCTCCTTTGTTTCTTGGAGCAGTTCTAACCTTTACAGTAGTAAATTTCAGTGGTGTCTGAACCCTTTGGGAAAGAAGATACCAAACCAGCAGGTGTGGTGGCCCATGTCTTTCCCTTCCCAGTCTGTTGGAAAGCCCTGCACACTGTTATGAATGTTGGCCATGGTTGCTGTCATGCTGCCTTGTGAACAGACTGCCTTAGAGCTTTGCAGAGGCTTTCCATGATGACACAATCTGGACTTCCTTCCCTGCAGTGTTTTGTAAACAGGTAGTTGCTGTAGCCTCTCTTCTGCATGATGGCTGTTCCAGGCAGAGGCCTTTGGCTCCAGACCTGTGTTTCTAGGGAGGAGCTGGCTTTTCTGTTATCTCACGTAGTGGGGTGGAGCACTGACCTGGAGTGCTCCTTCATGGCCATTTGTAGGGATGAGCTGTTAGGATTTATTGGGATTCTGGGCTGAGATTTGCCTGTGCTATGAAATGGGCAGGGTTAGGGTCCACCAATAGCTCTGGAGGAGGAACCTCGTGGGAAAGCAGGCATTGTGAAGTGTCAGCACCGAGTTGAACTTGGATGGGAAGGGATTGCTCCAGGCCCACGTTCTTCAGATGCGTGGGGCTGGCTCCCAGCTACTGCTGGCAGGCACATTGTTCTAGTTCCCTCCTGAAAGAACACGAGGCCACTGTGGGTGTTGACCTGGTTCTTCCTCTGTATTACAGACACAGTCTTCTCACGTGTCGAGGAGGAGCACCTCTGGGAGTGCAAGCAGCTGGGCGTTTACTCACCCTTTGTGCTCCTTAACACCCTTATGTTCTTCAACACTAAGTTCTTTGGGCTGCAGACAGCAGAGGAGCACATGCAGCTCTCCTTCACCAACGTAGTACGGCAGTCTCGCAAGTGCACCACAGCCCGTGGCGTCACGAAGATGGTGAGCATCCGCTACTGTGCTCCTGCCAAGCAGAAGAAAGTCCGAGGTAGGGTCTGACAGAACATCTCTTTGTCCCTCTCCCTGCCTTCTCCGTCATGTCCCAGCTGTGATCCTACTCTATCCCCCCCTTTGCAGATGGTAGCACTGGAAAGAGGAAGCGTGAGGAGGAGACGCCAATGTTGGAGCAGCGGGAGAACAAGATGAACCCGCTTCGATGCCCTGTCAAGTTCTACGAGTTTTATCTCTCTAAATGGTGAGGCTTTTCTGGATCAGAGGCTTGTGTTGTTTTGGGGACACCTCTCAGTTTCAGGAGACCCAGTGGAGTAGCTGCTGCTCTCTGCATATTCTTCCATGAGCGTTAAGCCTTGACCAGGGTCTATACTGCTTGTAGGCTGTGATTGAGAGAACACTTGTCTCTGTCTGCTTTCATTCCTTATTTCTTGAAAGACATGGAGGGGTATGTGGCACATTGGTTAGGGAGCTTACTTTGGAGTGAGGACTACAGTGCACAGCCTTGTCTTGCCCAGAAGATGAGAGACTTAAGCCCTCCTTGATAATCGAGAGGGCAAGCCAGGCTTTCTGAGCCCCTGCTACTGATGTCCTAGGTCTCACTTTCCTTTCTCCTTACAGTCCTGAGAGCATGCGGAACCGCAGCGACATCTTTTACCTGCAGCCTGAGAGGTCGTGCATCGCCGAGTCCCCGCTTTGGTATTCGGTCATCCCCATGGACAGGAGCATGCTGGAAAGCATGCTGAACCGCATCCTGGTGGTGAGGGAGATCTACGAGGAGCACAGCCGGCTCAGCAGCGTGGAGGATGATATGGACTAAGCACAAGGTGCTGCTGGGCTCGTTCTGCTCCAGCCTTGGACACCTCATCTCCGTGACTCCTGTTTTGGGGGCCATGCAGCACACCGTGGGGCCGGGACTGCAGCAATGCTGTCCCCACATTGTTACTGAACTCAAGACATCTCATCCTGCTCGTAACAGGCCTTTCTTACCTACGTGGCGCCTGCGCTCAGCCCTGCCCCATGCCAGGTGGGCCATCTTCCCTGGGGCCAGCCCCTGCAGCACAGAGGTGGCAAAGCCACCAGAGTGGTGGCCCCTTTTCCTCCCCATCCTCCCACTCCCCAGGGCTGCAGCCCCTACCCCCAACTCTGACACTAACCCCTTCTCCCTCTGCCCTGAGGCAGGAACCGCACAATATGGCAGAGTGCTGCCTGGGACCAGCAGGCTCTGAGGCTTTTAAATTCCCCCTTCCCTTGGCATCAGCTCACAGAAGCTGCACGTGGCACGGCAGGAACGGTAGCTCTGCTGCAGTGGGACAGTGTTTTCATGGCAGCGGGGAAGGACCACCGGAAGAGTGTGAGCTGTTGGATAGGGGAAGAGTTGTTTCCAGAGGTGGGGGTTGGCCAGGGTTGGCTGATGGGAGCAGATGAAGTTGGCGCTGGAACGTGGGGTCAGAGGCCCAGCTGGGCCATCTCCCTCAATTTTGTCAATGTTTTCTGAGTTGGCAGAAAACTGACTGACACGGGTCTGTGCCAGTGCTGCCCTTCCCTCCCCACTGTCCCTATTCCTGGTGTAGCCCCCTCCGCAGGGCGAGGTGCCACCAGCATTGCAAGCTGGCTGGGGTGCTGGTGGCAGTGGTGGGTCCCTCTGCTCCTGCTCTAGGCTCAGGCAGCCACTGGCAGAAGTGAGGGGATCTGCTTGGCCTCTTCTCCCTCCCAAAGTTGCAGGGCCCTAGTGCCCAGAGGAGGCTGGGCTCCTGCTGTGCTGTTCCCTGCTGCCTCCTACCCCTCCTCGTGTTCTGGTTGGTTTTCCTGAGCTGTACATGGGTCTCAGCACTGTTTGTTGAGCCTGTATATATTGTTCTGGGCCTTGGCCTGGGGCCCTCTGTTCTCTGTGTCCATGTGGAGAGTGAGCCACTCACCAGTCTTGTTGTAGTGATAACAGGGCGTTAGGACTAACCCTGTGTCTCTGGAAACCATTCATTTCAAATAAAGTTGCAGAAAGTTGCTGGCTGCCCCTGCTTTCCCCAGGCAGGGGGTGGGCACTGGCATGCAGCCCCTTGCTCAACCCCAGCCCCAAGCCAGGAGCTTGCCTGTGGGGCTGGGACCTTCCCTTTCCTGGGCTTGGCCTCTCCCAAAGGTGCTGCATGGCTCTGCTGGGCACAAGGGCCCTTGTCCCCTTAGCAGCGGGTGATCCCAGCTCAGCATGTCCCTGCAGCCAGATCATGGCCCTGGGGGAGGAGAGCAGGACGAGCTGCCTCCATGCATCTCCTCTCTATCCCTCCCTTGCTGTGCTGCCTGTGCTCTGTCCTGTCTGCTCCCCACCCCCAGAACTGCAGCCCAGCATGGTGGTGGCCCTTCCCCAGCCTTTGGGGTCATGCATGAGATGGATGTTCAGGCAGCAATGCCACAGCGCCCGTGGGCAGAGCAGGAGTCAAGTGAGGTGCAGTGGATGTTTATTTGCTTCTCAGGGCTGATGGTTGGGGTAGTGGGGTTTGCCTCTGCCCCAGCTTGGTCCTGCTGCTCCTGGGCCATGCTCAGCTCTCATGCTGGCCATGGGGTCTGTGCCACAGGCCTGCCAGGTCCTCGAGATGGGAACCACAACTGTGGCCACCACGGCACAGCACGGCAGCCCACGCATCATCCATCCCCAAGCATCCTGGCAGGCACCAGCTGCGTTCACACTGCCAGGTCTGCTGCTTGCACTTTCCCACGGGACACACTGTCCGCCCCCAGCCACACACCAGCCTTCCCCAGAGGTGCCAGGTGTGGTCTGCTGGCATCCATGGGGTTGCCACCACCAGGCAAGGTGAAGCGGGCACTGTGGGACCCCACAATGCCACCAGGGCCAGGCAGGATGCGGGATCTGGGACCTGGCCGCTGCCGGCATTTGGTGAGGCCCAGGTGGTAAATCTCCACCAGGTTGAGCAGCAGAGACACGCAGGCCACCCCCAGCATGAAGAGGATGAAGATGGTCTTCTCGGTGGGCCGGGAGATGTAGCAGTTGACGGTGTTGGGGCAGGGCCAGCGGCTGCAGGTGTAGAGGGGCTTCAGCTCAAGCCCATACAAGGCGTACTGCCCTGCTATGAAGCCCATCTCGAAGAGAGCCTTGAAGACAACGCTGCAGACGTACGTCCTCAGGATGGCCCCACGCATGTGGACCCGGCCCTGAGTGTCCCGTGCTGGGATCCGGGGCTTTCCCTGCTGCCGCCGGGCCCCGCCGCCGCCCCGCGCTGCCGCCTGCTGCTGCGCCTTCTCCTCCAGGTGCACCAGGTGCAGGATGTGGCCCAGGTACACCAGGCTGGGGGTGGAGACGAAGATGATCTGCAGGACCCAGAAGCGCAGGTGGGAGATGGGGAAGGTGCTGTCATAGCAGGCGTTCTGGCAGCCGGGCTGCTGCGTGTCGCAGGAGAAGCCGGCCAGCTCATCACCCCACACCCGTTCTGCAGCTGCCCCCAGTACCAGGATGCGGAAAACAAAGAGGACGGTGAGCCAAACCTTCCCCACCACCGTGGAGTGCTCCTGGGCGTTCTCCAGCAGCCGCCCCAGCAGGCTCCAGTCCCCCATGGTGCTGCAAGACAGCCACGTTCCAGACACACGGACACGTGCCCGACCTCAGCCCCCATCCCCAGGGTGGGCATGCAGGGACCTGCACTGGGGCTGCCCCCACTTCGTGCACCCCAAACCCCCTAACCCGGTGTGGGGAGCTTCCAGCAGGAGCAGCCCCAGCAGTGGGGTGGGCATGGCTGCCGTGGGGACACCGCCTGCACGGGGACCCCTCACCGTTGTGGGTATGTGGGTGCTCCCACGCTGTCACCAGAGAGGTGTGGGATGCTCCAAGGCCGCTTCCCCAGCGATCACAGTGCAGACAGGTCTACCCGGTTCCGTCTGTCTGTCTGTCTTTCCGTCCGTCCACCCGATGGTGGGCAGAGGGTTAGCGGGTCGTGATGCAGCTGCAGGCTCCATTGGCTTTTTTTTTGTGATTGGCAGATGAAGCAGCCACTGGGGGAAAATTTTCCCCTCTATTTTTGGTCTGGGCACTTTTCTAAATATACTGTGGGGCTGCAGGGGCTGGTGCTCAATGCCACCAGAGGGTCACCGCTCCTGCACGCGTGCTGCTGGGACACTGTGACTGCAACCACAACTGCACCTGGGGACCGTAGCCCCGGGTATGGGGCTGGGCAGCCCTGCTCATGGGGCAGTGGTAGCCTGGGTGCACCCAGAACTGTTCCTCTCTGCTCAGGGATAGGCACCCCATGCTGGCACCGCATCCCCACCCGGAGCACGAAGCAGGGAGGCAGCACCTGAGAATGGACATTTAATGGCCCGAGCACGCAGCGGCAGCCCTGCCCTCCCCATCCCCGCTGTCCAGGAGGGTCGGCACTGGGCGTGCATCACACAATACGAGGGCAGCGTGTGCCCTCCCCAGGGCTGTGGGGCGGTGTGGGGCTCAACACGCAGAGCAGCGGTCTCCCTTCTCCTGCAGGCTGGGGTTGCGGCGCAGCATGTCCTTGAGGGATCCGTCCTGCTCCGTCAGCAGCTGGTTGATCTCGTTCTGCTTGTACTCAGAGGAAAGCTTGTGGCCGTAGAAGGAGCTTTTCCCCGAGGAAGGGTTGGAGTTGTGACGGCTGCGGCGCGCACAGGCCCGCACCACCAGGTAAACCAACTCGGCCATGTTGAGCACGATGCAGACGCTGGAGGTGACCAGCATGAAGACGGTGAAGATGGTCTTCTCGGTGGGCCGTGAGACGAAGCAATCCACGGTGTTGGGGCAGGGATAAGCCTCGCACTTAACCAGCCGCACCATCTGGTAGCCGGGGTAAATCATGTAGAAGAGGTACATGAAGACGGCCTCGAAGAGCAGCCTGAAGACCACGCTGCAGACATACGTCCACCACAGCGATCCCGCGATGCGCATCTTGTGCTTCTTCACCTCCTCCAGGTGCTTGGCGTCCCCGTGGCCCGTCATCAGCAGCAGCTTCTTCTCCTGATGCTGCTGGTAGGCCACGTGCATGGCCACGAGCAGGGCTGGCGTGGTGACCAGGATGAGCTGCAGGGCCCACAGGCGGATGTGCGAGATGGGGAAGAAGTGGTCGTAGCAGACGCTGTTGCAGCCCGGCTGCTGCGTGTTGCAGGTGAAGGCGGACTTCTCGTCCCCCCAGACGCTCTCGGCTGCCACCACCAGCACCATGATCCTGAAGATGAAGATGACGGAGAGCCAGATGCGCCCGATGGCGGTGGAGTGGCGGTTCACCCCGCTCAGCACCGCGTAGAGGCCGGCCCAGTTCATGGCTCCTCACGCCTGGCAGGGAGCAACGAGAGGCGGCGTTAGGAGAGGGACGGTCCCCAGCTGAGAGCCACCGTGGTGGTGGGGACACGGGAGCAAACGGCCACCGCAGAGCTGCGGGTGGTGGGCAGGACAGATAGACATCGGGACGGATGGACAGACAGCATGACAGCAGAACAGACGGCAGGACAGGAGCTGCTGACACAGCTCGGGACAGCACTCTGCCCCACAGCTCTGCTGTCCCCCTGCCCCCAACCCAGCCCTGTAGCAAAAGGTCAAAGGGCTCCTAGTGTGCAGCCGGGAGCTGCTGCAGGGCCTCTCTGCCTCCCCCCATGCGGGAACAGAGCTGACCCTTCTGTCCCAGGGTGGCTCAGTGCCATCCTCCTGCCCTCCTCCCCACCCCCAGGTACTGCAGAGGGTGGGAATGACGTTCCCAGATGTGCACCCACACCCAGCACTGAGCTCTGCCCACTCCCTGCACTGCCCCACAACAATCCTAGAGTGGAGCTGGGGATCCCCAGCCCGGGCGGTGCAGCCCTGCAGTACCACCCTCCTCCTGCCCCATCCCTGCCCTGCGGGGCCCCAGCACGGAGCAGCACCGGGGGCTGCTCTGCACCCAGACACAGGGCTGGGAGCCGCCCCAGCGCATACCTGGCAGTGAGGAAGAGTCCTGCTGAGCTGCCCCCAAAGGCCCCTCTAAGGTCTCATGTCTCCCGCAGCAGAGCTCTGCTCCGCCTGCCCTCGTCTCTGTCCACCACTGCCCTGCACTGGAAGTCATATGCTGCTTTATAAACTATTTGCATACAATGGGACCTTTATGGGCTCCTGAACAACACACTTTAGCATTCAGATCCAACGCCCCGACTTCCGCCCACCCCGGCCAAACAAAGTCCCTGTGTGCTGCGTCCCCGCTCCCACCGCGCCCCGCGCCCAGCACGGATGTGGACCCTCCGCCGCCACCGGGGGGGGCTCCGGGTCGGCAGCCACCTGGGTACGGCGGGCGGGACGTGGCAGTGGGGACGGTCACCTCCCCGAGCAGCGAGCACGGAGTGCAGCCACGTGCTGGGGACGCGGGGCTGAATCGAGCCGCGTCTCCGTGCGGCAGCGATGGCACCGCGGGGCCGGGAATGGTGCCATCCGTGCCTTCCCGTGCACAGAGAAGAGGGGTCCCCGTATCTTGCCACCAGCCCCGGGCACGGAGCGGCACGCGTGGCACGGCTCCAGCTCAGGGCCAGGCACGGACGTGGCACGGTGGGGAGGAAGGCGGGGACAGCGCGGCGATGCCCTCCGTGTGCCAGCCCCCAGCCCCGCAGTCCCCGATGCGAACGCTCGGATCGGGCGCCGAGCAAACCGCGCAGCGCGTTGCCCTTCCTGCGGCCGACCCCGTGTCCTCCCGCGGTACCCACCTCACCGACGGGACGGCCGAAGCTCTCGGTCCCGCACACCTCCCGACGCAGCGGTCGAAGCTGCACTCCGGACTTTATACCGCCCCGTCGCCGCCCACCCCTCCCAAACCGCTCCGCTGCTCCTTTCCAGCGCCGCAGGTGTGTCCCGTTCCCCTCGCCGTGCCTTGGGGTCAACGCACCGCCCCACGGCCCGTCCCGTCTTATCGTTCCCTTCGCGGGCCGTGAGCTGCCGGGCGGGGGACACGCGGCCCCGCACACCCCCACGGAGCGGCTCCGGGCGTCGTTGGTCGATCCCGACACCCAAATTTAATGGGAAAAAGTGCAGAGGGGAAAAACAAACAGCCTCTGTCAACCATTAACTGGCGGAGCAGCCGCTCCAAGGTCCCGTCGAGGAGATGGGAAACGCCGAAGGGGCCGGAGGGTCACTGGGGTGGGAGCAACGCGGGGCTGCGGGGCCCGAGATGGGGCTGAGGGCGGGGAGGGGCGGCCGTCCCCCATAGGGGGCTGAGTCAGCGCTGCCCCCAGCACCGAACGGCGCAGGGAGGCGGAACTGCGGCGGCAGAGGGCGCTGCGGGGCCGGGATGGGTCGGAATGGAAATGATAGGGATAGGGATAGGGATAGGGATAGGGATAGGGATAGGGATAGGGATAGGGATAGGGATAGGGATAGGGATAGGGTTGGGGATGGGGATGGGGATAGGGATAGGGATAGGGATAGGGATAGGGTTGGGGATGGGGTGGGGTGGAGACAGGAATGGGAATGAGGGTGAGGATGGGAATGGGGATGGGGATATAGATGCGGATGGGAATGGGATGGGGATGGAATTGAATGAAGTGAGAATTAGAATAATAATGAGGATGGGGTGGGGATGGGAATGAGGATGGGGATGGGGATGGAATGAGGTGAGGATTAGAGTAGGAATGCAGATGGGATGGGGATGAAGATAAAGATGGGAATGGGGATGGAGGTGGAGGTGGGGGTGAGGCTTGGAGTGGGGGTGGAGAACTGCAAGCAGTGACCCCAGGACGGAGTGTGTCAAGCAGGGATGTGTTGGTGCCATCAGCAGCTGCTGCCCTTTGTACAGCAGCAAAAACATTGTGCAAAGCCCTCGTGCAGGGACAGGCTGTACTCCGAGGGCAGGACCGGCCCTTGGCCGCCGGGAGCAGACGTGGGCTCACGGGTGGTGACGCCAATCCGGAGGTTGGCAGCACGGTGGTGATGTGTGAGGCTGTGGGGACAGGAGAGGCGTTGTGCTGGGATGGCATCCGGCTGCAGGACCGGGCTGACGCCGTGCTGCAGCCGTGGGGTCAGAGTGTCACAGAGGGAATCCGTGTCCAACCATCACCGATGCACAGTGGTGCCGGGCAGTGCTGTCAGAGCTGAAGTGATGGCATCACGGGCGTCCCCAAAGAGGCAGATCCCCCTCGTTGGAGTCTGCTACGTTGGGAAGGGCGCAGACAGCACAGAAATGCTTTGTGCTGCAGAGGTCAGGGGAGCACAGTGCTCATGGAGCAATGGGTGTGCTGTGGGCCCTAAGCTGGGGGGGTGGGGACCTGGACCAGGACCAGGACACGGACCAGGACACAGCAATGCTGCTGCACTCCCACAGACGGTGGCTCCTGGAGCATCACAGGCACACAGTGGCCTCTCATGCCCTCTCCATGCCACGCTGCCATCACAGTTCAGTTTATTTCTGCTTCTCTTTGCCTGCAGCTCCAACCACATCCCTGGAGCTGGGGATATCCCGTGTCCTCACACAGATGTTGACCACGTGTGCTCTCAGGGATGTGGTGTCCGCTCTCTGCTGATGGTGGGGACACCCAGAGCAGATGGCAGCAGGCTGGGGAGGATGGCAGAAGCAGGATCTTAATAGCAGCATGTTGCCAGTCACCACCTTGCACCCGGGGTCCTGCTGGGGTGGCCATGATGGCACATGGGGACAGCAAGGAATGGGGCACAGAAAGACAGGGAGATCTCCTGTTGTGGGGCAGGAACCCACCTCCTCACCCCGTGGAGGGGATTGCAGGGTGGGCAGCTGGTGGTGTCCTTGGGGTCTTTGGGGTGGGCTGCCATCCCGTGGGCAGCGCCGGCCCCACCGCCTGCACTGCAGTGAGCGGGCTGTGCCGGAGCTGTGCTGCGGAGCGATGGCATCGCCATGGCAACCCGTCCCCCGTGGACCAATGTGGGTTTCCAAGGTTTCCATCCATCCCAGTTCTCCTGCAGCTGGCGCTGAAGGCGGCATCCGATGGGAGCGCTGGGTGGGTCTGAGCAGAGGGCACTGAGATCGGGGCAGTGCTGAGTGGGGGCTGAAGGGTCAGGATTTGGGGTGGGGAAGGATTCCAGCAGAGCTTCCCTCCATCAACCCCATGGCAAAGGGTCACCTGTCTCTGTGTGCCTCTACCTCGTGCTGGTTGCAGGACGAGGACCCCCACAAAGCAGCACCCATGCAGCACCGCCTGCCTCCCCCTGGTCCCCCTCCCAGCCCCAGCCCTTGGCCCAGCTCTTCTGCTGCGCTGCCTGGAGGCGATTCAGGCCCCCATGCCTGGTTGCCATGGCAACTCCAGTGGAAATTACATTAAAAAGCAATGAAACCAGCAGATTTCTGATCGGCGAGCAGGGGGAGGGGAGCGGGGCTGGGCAGGGTGGGAGGGGACACTGTGAGACACCTATGGATTGGGTGAGGTCCTGCACAGTGCCTCAATGCCACAGAGACCCAGAAGGGCTGGGACATGCAGGGACCCCACTGTGCCCCCAGTGTCAGCAGTGCTGGGGACAGGTGACACCCCTGCCCAGGTGGGTGCCGGGACCGTGGGGACCCCCATGTTGGGGCATCGCTGTGCTCCATCCCCTGCACATTTCAAGGAGAGGCAAGACACACCACTATTAAAAATATCACTTCTGTTTTATTTGGAATTTGTTACTCTGAGCGGGTGACAGGGTATAAATACATTCTCCAACCAGCACCCTCACCCCAAACCAAGGCTGTGTGGGGCCGTGTGGGGCTGTGTGGGGTCAGCCGGCACCAATGCGTCACGGCTGCCAGTGCGGGCAGCGTCTGCCAGCCGGACCGGGGCTGAGGGTGGCATCCCTGTGGGGACACAGGACCCGTCCCCTCCTGTGCTCAGGATGACCACACTGGGGGCCAAGCCAACCCCTGCCCTCACTGCTCCTGGGTCGCTCCTTCCCCACATCCAGCCCTAAGCTCCCCACTACCTGCGGCCATCTCCGGCTCTGCGGGTGCCCCAGCCCTGGGGCAGGTGCCCTGTCTCCAGTGCACACCCTGGCGTGGGGTGGTGGCGAGGTGGGGAGCAGGGCAGGGTGGCTGTGGGTGGCTGCGCTTTGGCAGCGCGCATCCAACCCCATTGGGTGACCCTGCTGGACTAGGGGCTGGGATGGGGCTGAGGGGCTGTGGGGCTCCTGTGGCCGGGCCCTGGAGTGGGCTTTTTGGCTGAGATCAGTGGGCACGGGTGACAGAGGAGGGAGAATATCAAAAATACAAAAGAGCGCGGCCTCGCAGCGCGGCAGGCAGGGCCCTGCCTGGTGCCTGGTGCCCGCTGGCCCCGTGCACGGGTACTGGGGCCGTGGGGCTGCGTCAGGGCCGGCACCGCGCACACACGCTGGGGTTCTTCTAACTGGCTTTTTATTTTATATCAAGAACACTTGGTTTAAAATCTTTACAAAGGACAAAACGCGGCGACTCCGTTAGTGTGTAAAGAACTAAAGATCTGCTTTAAAAAACGTCTCTGCAAAGAGAAACGACTGACACAAAAGAGATTCTCTGCAGCGCAAAGAGGGGGCAGAGGTGCCACGTCTCCATCGCGGGGCGGCTCCCCGGCTCCCAGCGCCCGCACCCAGCGCGAGGCCGGGTCCCTGCCTGCTGCCTCTGCCCTTAGCACCATGGCACAGTGACGGAGCCTTATCCACGGCGCTCTGGATGCCAAACCTCCTCCAAAAGGGATACCCGGCACCGCTGCTCGCCCGTCTCGGGGTGGTCGGTGGGCGCGGGTGATGCCGTGTCCCCATTCGGGGGGCACAGCCCCGGTGCACCAGTGGGGCCCTCCTGCCGGGAGCCGGAGAGTTGAAGCACTTCTCAAAGTTAGAAAGGAATGAAAGAAAGCGCCGAGGGAAGCAGGGCGGCCGGCGGTGCGCAGTGCCCGCAGGTTTGGGCTTGGTGTCACACCGTCCGTGTGCGCCACCTGTCCGTCTGTCTGTCCATCCCGGGGGGCTCCCGCCAGTCCCTCTGCCAGTGTCTGCCGAGTGCGTGTGCGTGCGTGCGTGGGTGTGCGCCGGCCGCGGGCAGCTATACCCTGGTGGTGGAGTGTGAGTGCGGGAGCCCCGTGCTGTTGAAACCGGCGGCGAAGGTGTTGTAGGGGTGCAGGGTCTGCAGCCCCACCAGCGAGTTGGGGATCATGGTGATGGTGTTGGGTGTCATGAGCGGGATGTCATCCGGGGAGCGGCGCAGCGTCAGCGTGTAGTCGGGCAGGGCGGCGAGGCGCAGGGTGTCGTGGGGCGGCACGGCCTCGCACTCGTGGTGCGCCTGGCCGGCCTGCAGGGATGGCATCTCCTCGTCGGGCGCGTGGACGATGTCGTTGGCGGCGCCGCGCTGCGGGCTGGGCTGCCGGTGCGTGTCCTGCCGCCGCTTGTCCTTGCGGTAGTAGAGGGCGGCGAAGGCCAAGACGTTGAGGAAGAGGAGCGAGGCGCCCACGGCGATGGTGACGCTCAGCTCGGTGGAGTAGTCGCGGGGGCTCTCGAGCAGGGTGCCCGCCTCCTGCTCCGGGCTCCACTTCTCCTTCCCGTTCTCGCTGTTGTAGGCGGGTGAGATGGCGGGGCGCTTGGTGGTCCAGATCTTGCCGTTGGGCCGGCGGGTGATGTGGGAGTTCTGCGTGGTGTCGGGCGGTGGCACTTTGGTGGTTGTGGAGGTGTAGTGGAACATGTCGTGCAGGTTGTACAGGTGGGGGACCAGGTGCTTCCAGAAAGCCACCTTGGTGGCTCGGTAGTGGTCGCGCACCCGCGGCTTCAGCCCGATGTGCAGGTACAGCTGGTCGCGGGGGTTGTACTTGGACCAGGCCACCTCCTCAAACCTGTTGGCCTTGGTGTGGATGAACTTGGTGTCCTGGGGGACGGGTTTGTTGGGGTCCCTGTGAGACACAGACAAAACAGAGCTAGCACCGGGAGAGCCAGAGAGGTGAGGTGAAAGAGCTAGCTACCTCCGGATAAACAAAGGGAGGCACAGATGGGCAGCATCCCAAGCCCTGAGTTGAGCCTCACCCATGATAACCATGAGCAAGTTGCTCCCACACCCCTGCCCTCAGCTATGGCTGGAGCCCTGTCCTGGGCTGACGCCAGCAACAGCCATGCCAGGTCACGATTGCCCTGCCCAAGGCAGGAGCACAAGGAGCCAAGACCATGGATTTCCAGATACAGGGGACTCAGTGCCACCCTGGCTCCCCTCACTCAAGTGCAGACCGCTCCCCACCCTGCCCCGCTCACCCTGTCTTGGCAAAGTTGGTCCAGTAGGTCATCACCACAGCACTGAGCATAACATCGTTCTTAGAGAAGTTGCAGGGAAAGAGGTCTGTGGGGCCGATCATGGGGATCCCAAACACGTAAGGCACCTCATCCCCGTGGGCTGCGTCGGACCACGCGGGCTTCATCAGGCTCTGGCAGTGGTGGTAGAAGGCGTAGAAGTAGGTTGGGGAGCCGTAGCGGGCGTGCAGGTCAGCTGTCACCACCGATGGCTCCACCCATTGGTGGTCGGTGAAGAGGGCCACCAGGGTCTTGCGGCGCGTCTCGGGGTTGTCCCTATCGGCCCAGTCTGTGTACATGAACTTGATGGTTTCTCGCAGGGTGTCCTTGCCCTCGGGGTAGCCATACAGATTGTCTACAAAGTTGGAGACCGAGTAGTCAAAGTCGCTGCCCGAAACGCCATCCTCGGGGTCCACCACGCCCTCCACGAACTTCAGCCCCTCGCCTTGGTTGACACCCAGCATGATGTCGTAATTGAGGAACTCGCCCTGCTCCATCAGGATCTCTGGGTCATCTGGGATCACGTCCCCATCAATGACCGGCCCAAAGGCCACGTGGTAGCGGGCCGGCTGGATGTCTTGTTCCACCAACTCCTTGGCACTCTTCTGCCGCAGGCAGTCCACCATGTCCACCGTGTCCAGCACGTTGCAGCCTACCTTGTCTGCCAGCATGCTGGTGTATTTGACGGGCTGGTAGTTCACCGCCCAGCTGGAGAGCGCGGAGCCACTCTGGATGATGGCTCTCTGGAAGAGACCTGCAAGAGAATCAAGGGGCTCAGAGACGCTCCAACACACTGAGGCTGCAGTGGGGTGCTGTGCTCCCACAGCAGGGATCTCATGGGGATGTTCCAGCATCTCATGGGGCCATTCATGGCTGTGTCACAGCCATGGCTTGCTGAGCATCATGCTCCATCCCCGCCATCATGCACTGCCGCCATCCTCCAGCCTGGATGGGACCACGCGGCAGCAGCGGGAGGGTTAATTCCTGCTCGGGGACACTTAACCCTGCGTGTCCCACCCGCTGCTTTGTCAGGGTCCCCCTCACCCCCCTCCCTGCCACTTCCTGCCCAGCTGGGGCTGCTTGGTGCCAATCCGGCCCTGCGGGAGCACGCTGCCAGATGCACAAAGAGGGCCTTTCTGCCACTGGGAACACAGAGGGAGTGGACTTTCGCCCTGGAAAGCGGGGCCACAAAGGCCCTGGCCCAGGCGGAGGAATGTGTGGCTGGGCTCCAGCCCCATGTCAATGGCGCTTGTGCTCGGAATACAAAGGGCTGCGAGGAAGCGGAGCCTCCGGGGCGGTGCAAGGTGGCCGAGCTTGGGGTGCACCCTGTGGTCTCTGCTCTCTGGCCAGCCCTGTCTTGCACCCCTGTGCCTCGCTGGAGCCTGGCACTTGATGGCTGCCAGATTCCATTTCATGTGTGCTGCATGGCATGGGGCATGGCTGAGCTCACAGAGTGCTGCAGGAGACCCGGCTGCACACCTGGACCCACGCAGCATTGCAGGGAGCATGTTCCTTCCTGCAGCAGCAGTGCTGGGAGGATCCTGGCTACCAGCCACAGTGCCCATAGCTGTCTGCACGCACAGTCCTTGCTCTGCCAAGTACCTGACGTACAGTCCCATGCGCTGGGACAAAGAGAAGTCACAAGCTCTGTTTGTCACCTCCCAGTGCCCTAGAAAGCAGTGCCCAGCCTACAAGCCTGAGTCTGACTGTGGGCTTGCATGCTCTGCACCATCACCCACCATCAAGCAGCTGATCTGAGCATTCCCTGAGCCACGCTGGGTGCCTTCAAGGTGAGGATCCTCCTTACAGACACTCCCTACAGCAGCAGCTATTGACCCCACCATCAGTGTGCTGCCCACTGGGCACTGGCCATTTCTCACCAAGATGACAGACCACCCCACACCTTTGTTGGAGGAGAGAAGCAGCACTTTGCTTCTTGGCAGGCAATCCACCTGCTAGCAAGCAACAGGGCTGGCAGGGGAGCTGCAGGTCTTCCCGGCAGCCAGACGCAGCGTGCACAGCACCAGCCTCCCATGTCTGCCTCTCGCCGCGCCTGGCAGAGCAGGCACAAATTAGCTGCTTCATTAATAGCTCTTGATCACTACGTGTTTTATTTTGATCCGATAAAAACAAACCCGCCTGGTCTCCAGGCTGTGTCTTGGTGTGGCTTCCCTGCTGCGCTGCAGAGAGGGCCCTGGGGAGATGGGTGCCCTGGAGCGGGGCTGGATAAGGGCGTTCTGTGTCCATTTGTTCTAATGCAGTGCTGGCTGCAGCATCAGCATCTCCTCTCCCTCCTCGCTGCGTTCATAGCCAAGGCGGTGAGGGAGCCAGGTGCCCAGCACCAATGTGATGCAAAGGACACTGCATGCAGACACAGAGTTTAGTGGCAGAAAGCCTGGTGTCACCCAGAAAGTGATGTGTTTCGGCTCTTCAACCACGGAGGGAAAGCCAACGAGCAGCTGCTTGTTCTGGAGAAGTAATTGCTGGGTTCCCCAATCCACCAGCCTCTCTCCATGCTGCCAGCTGCATCTCCAACTCAGTTTGGTCAGAGAAAACCCTTCTCTCTGTGTAGGAGCTTTCAGGCTGCAAAAGACTGGTGTATTCACTGCCCCATGTACCCATGCGTGTGCAGGAGGGCTTGTGGAGCCCCAGGTACTCATCCATGGGGACAGCATGGCCACACATGAGTCCTTGAGCCACAGAGTATCCCCTGCATGGAGGTGGAGCCCATCCTGCTGCTCAGGAATCTGCAGAGATCTGTCCTTGCTCTTTCATTACACAACACCAGATTTCCCAGACCACACATGCAAAGCATTTCCTGGTTTTACCATAGAAAGTGTCTCCTCCTAATATCCAATCATGCTTGCACAAGTAGCCTGAAGAAGATGGGGTGACATTCCCAGCAGCATCCTGCTCAGGATCAGCAAGAGGATGGTGCACTGTGCAGAGCAGAGGCACTGACTTTGGGCACTGGGCACTCATGGAAGAGCATGGACTGATCACAAATGTCCTGAGATCGTGGGGCAGCAAGGAAAGCAGTTTACTCAGAGCAGATTGTCCTGGGCCACTGCAGCTTCACCTTTCTTCTTGTTTCCAAACCTTTCACCTCTTTGCAAACCCATCTTTACCATGCTTTACTCCAAGCTGGCAGGGTGCAGGTGATGGTGACAGCAGAGCAAGCAGGCTTAGGGGCAGACTGACTCTTAATTCCTTGGATCTTGTACCAAAATGACCCAGCAGGACAAGACAGTATGGAACACTTTGCTCCCACCATTAACAGGTGCTCAGCATCTCTGCCACATCTCCCAGCAGCCAGCACCAGCCTCGTGGCACCTCCAAGCTGCACCCTTCAAATCAAATGCTACAAAACAGACAGCACTGCTGGCTCTGGTGCAGATACCTTCATAGCAGTCTGGGCTGAAATCACTGCTGCTTTAAAGTTTGGGGTGATCAGTCCATCCTTCATCCTCCCAAGTCCTGGAGGGAAGGCTGATCAGCTCCTCTGCCATGTGCTGACTTTCTGAAAGTTTCCTTTCTTTGTGCACTGTTCCCTAGCCTGCTCTCTAGCAGGGCTGCAGCTCTTCAGTGTGAGGTGTCATTTTGTTGTGTCTGCCTGCATTTCTGAGGAGCAGTGTTGCCCACTGCCCCAGGTGTCCTGTGCCCACAAATAGGGATGTGGTGCTGCATGAGGTTAACTACCTATTGTATGTTCCCCATAGAACTGCTCCCTGGCAGTCTGGTGCCCTGTGGACCACACTCAGTTCGGGTTTTCCTCCTGTCATTTTCTTTAGGAAGTTAAAGGCAGAACAACTCTTCTCAGTTGGCTGAAAATCTTTTTTCCAGTTTTCAATGTAAATTTATTCACAGGTGTTCTATATGCATTTGCTCTTACACCAGCACAATCTTGTAGCATAAACAATTCCTTTCTTTCTCTAGAGCAAACACTCCACTGTATTTACAATGTGATATCAACCCCATCACCTCCATCTGCGCTGTGCAAATTTCAGCACACCCAGACCTCCGCTCCAGTACCATGGGGCCTCATTCCCTCTGCAGGCTCACACCCACCTTTGCCTCTACTCCAGCATGAATTCCTTGGCACCCCTGGCACCTACCTTCTGAGTGGTGGGAGAGGGTGAGCAGGCTGACGCAGGAGGCGCCGATGCCGGAACCGAAGACGGTGATGCGCAAAGGATCGCCGCCGAAGAAGGCAATGTTCTCACTGACCCAACGCAGAGCCTGGATCTGGTCCAGCAGCCCATAGTTGCCCTTGGCAGCCTGGTCCCCTGTGCTCAGGAACCCTGAGAGTGAAGCAGAGAGCCCTGTTAGTGATGGAGGAAGCAGGCTGACCTCCCACCCTTTCCAGAGCCTGGGGGAGAGCCTATGGGATCCCGTCCCACCATGACCAGTAGGGTTCTACGGATGCTGTGGTTGGAGTGGGGACATTATAGTGCTGCTCACATGTGGGTGAGGGGCTGAGGGGTGAGAAGGAGCTACTCCAGGCAGAGATAGGGCGATGGGCATGAGTTCTGCCCTACCCCGACCACCAGCCACACTAACAACAGGCCAGGATATCTCCAAGGAATGCTCCAAGGAAAACTGAGAGCACCAGGGAGCAGTGTGCATGCACAGCTAATGCTTCCCATGGAAAAGCATGGTCTGGAGGAGGCACTATAAATGTAAGGAGGTGGGCTGGGCAGAAAGGAACTGACTGCAGCTTAAAATGCAAAAACTTTCAGTGAGGAAGATGCTGAGAAATGCTTTCAATAGTAAAGGTAACACCCAAGATAAGCTATCAGTGTTTTGTTTGCCTTGACTCAAAGCAGGAAGCCAAAGGCATGGCTCTGAGTGTAACCTGTCAGCAGGGAGTGGTGCTGCTCCGGCACCTGGGTGCGCCTGCCGGCACACTGCAGCACTTCAGTGGAAATGCCAATGGCACCTTTTAAGTCAGATTTCAGATTTTATTTCAGATCTCTTAAATTTGCACTATCAATCTGAAAGGCATGACTTTTAATATCGAAAGGTCTTGAGTATGTTTGTTTTTACAGAAAAGCTTATTTTCTACCAGCTAAATCCGAGCAAGGCTGCTGATCTGTGACTGTCATCCCCAACAGGAGATTGGGCTGTTGGAGGGATGTGGTGCCCAGGTGTAGGGCACTGAGCCCCTGACCCAGCTGAGTGTGAGCAGCAGAGCCTGTGGGGTGGCTTGGATGGACTCTTCTCCAGGAAAGCCCTTGGAGGGCTGAGCACAATTCTGTGTATCTCACAGGAAACCACAGAGAGAGCAAAATCAACCTCACAGCCCTCCTGTTTCCTTCCCCAGGGGATGCATCTGGGCTTTTGCATTGCCCACATAGGGTAAGAGGAGCTCCTGGACCTGCTCTAGCCCTGGGCACAGGCTGCTAGAGCACAGGCAGTGCTGTTGGCTCTGGTGCATCCATGAGGCGGTGAGGCAGCACCCTCTGGCAGCTCAGAGCTGTGAGCACTCTCAGGAGGTGATGCTGCGTAAACACATTTATTATTTATTTAGCCACAGACCAATATTTGCTTTCAGCTGAGCCAGGTTGAGTAAAAAAGCCTGGGTGGCCACTGCCAGGAATTTGACCACACTGCTGTGTCCACCACCACGTGGCACTTGGCCACCTCTCCCTGTCCCCTGTCCCGTAGCACAGCCCATACCGAGCACTCCGACGCGGTAGTTGAGTGTGATGACAATCACGTTCCCATAGCTGGCCAGGACGCTGCCGTCGATCATGTTCCCTGTGCCCTCCATGTATGAGCCGCCGTGGATGTACACCATCACTGGCTTGGCCCCGCTGTCCCGGATGTCTGGAAGGAGAGGAGGTTAAACACGGGACCACGCTGGCGACCGCAGCACCCTGCCAAGAGGCAGACCACAGAGAGAGGAGGGCAATGCCAGCTGCCAGAACCGGGGAGGGGGCTGCAGCAGCCAAACCCGGAGCCCAAAGCCATAGCACAGTTCTGCCAACCCCCCGAACCCTGCCAGCCCCCCCGTGATAGGCAGCCACTGTCACCATCCCAGCACTGCTGTCCCCTGGGCAGGAGCTGCCCAGAGTCTCAGTGCATGCAGGAGAGGCACCGGCTGGATCCAGCTGCTCTTCCTTGGAGCTGGGCTCTGGTGACAGGCAGAAGCTGGCACCTCCATGGTGGCAGTGGCTGTAGGGCACCAACAGACTGGGGGTGCTCATGGAGTTTGTCCCTGTGTCCCCATGGCCCCAAGCCCTCAACTCCGGGAGTGCTGGCAGCTGGCATTGAAGAGGGGCAGGGATGGGGTGTGCAGGACCTGGAGGGCGGGGGGGCACTGGTGGGTGCTCCCACCTCTCACTCACCCGCCTCCCCACCTTCCCAATTGCCCAGGGAGGCAGAAACCTGCCGGCTGCCTGGATGTGAACCCATGGCACCCCAGTGCCCGGACACAGACATGGTGATGAGCAGACAGTGCGTGCATGTGTGCGTGTTGGGGAGGTGAGCGCCGAGGCTGGGCGAGGACAGGTCATGAGGCATGGAGTGAGGATGGGGAATGGGACCTGAGGACCAGGGAGAGAGCACCGGAGGAGCCTAGGGTTGAAGAGCAGCCGTGCTGTCTCTCTCTCCTCACTATCCTTGTCCTGGAGACATCCGTACCCATGCTGGGCCCGTGGAACATCTCACACACATTGCATGGAAGCAGCTGCACAAATCGCAGTGGCAGTGTCAGCTCCTGCATGCCCAGCCCTCTCCAGCATTCATGGACTTTTCTCTCCTTTGTGCTCACCTGCACCCAGTGCTGTGCATTGGTGGGCACTGGCTGGCACCAGGCACAGCTCTTACCCTCTTCAGCTGCCCCGACCACAGCTCCATCCCCACCTCCCCACACACCCCACCATGGCAGCCACCCTGCAGTGGTCTGCCAGGAAAACCTCCTCCTGGGTGAAACCCCAAGAGCTCCAGCACTCATTCTTGCAGCTCTGTCCTCTCCCCACTGCTATATGTCACCACCAAAACACAAAGGGCCATCCCTGTATCAGATTGGCATTAAAACGCAGAGGCAGAGCAAGGAAAAAATGGCTCCTATCCTTTGTGGAACAATTCAGCATGCAGGGATTTTCCGCAGTCAGATCATTTAGGATGGATGCCAGTTTACGCCCTGGTACAAGAGATCCTGGGGCACAGGTTACTGGGAGAAAACAACAGGTTTTGCTGCTGCCAATGAACTGGCTTTTCATCTGCTTCCCAGAACCCAAATGCCATCTGCCAGGACAGGCTCTGGGCTGCCCCAGCACTCCACAGCCCACGAGGTCGCAGTGCCCTCACTGTGTTACAGCTGTGTCCTGGCTGACCTCCTCCTCACATCTCTGCAACAAAACAGACTGAGTCCCAACCCTGCAGCCGAGCAGCTCCGCGTTACCAAAAACCGCCTGTTCTGCAGCTTTCCTAACCTGGTGGCAATGAAACACACCCGTTTGACATTGCACTCACTCTGCCTCATCTGGCACAGATGCAGTGGAACAAGCAACACCTTGTATTAGAAAAAAAAACGGGTGTAGCACACCCAGCTGGGACCGGGCACAGATCGGTGGCATGGGTGTCCATGCTTCTGTCCCATACTGAAAGCAGGTGGGAGGGGAGAGTGCAGGCTCCCGTCGTGCATCAGTAAGTCTGGAGGGATGAGGCTGGAGGTGGAATATGACCGGGCTCGGGGTGAAATGGGCCCAGGTGCCCGAGGGCTCCTCTGCTCCCAAGCTGCCATGCTTCCTCCCGGCCCTCGCTCGAGCGGAGCGGGGCAGCCAGCAAACTTCTCCTGCAGCACGACCCCACAAGCTTCCCCAGGAGGAGAGGATGGGGCTGAGCCCTGCACAGCCAGCCCCCCTGCCCCCCGCCCCGCGCAGCTGCCCAGCGCTGAGACAGACACACACGGGGCTCCCTGGGGATGGCAGCGGATGGCGGGCATACGGAGTTGCTTTGCGTGTCATGCAGTGGCAGCCTCGAGCACAGAAATACCTTCGTCTTCATCCCCGTCATTATCCGCTAAGTCCTCTCCCTGTTTCTTAGCGCTGGCTCCTAGGGACCAAACACGAGGAGACAGAAAAAAAAAAAAGAAGAAAAAAAAAAAAGGAAAAAACAAAAAGGAGAAAAACAAAACAAAACAACAACAACAAAAAAAAAACAACAAAAGAAAAAAAAAACACAAAAGAGAATTCAAAAATAGCATGATAGCAGAGCTGGTGGGGCCAGGCTTGCACCCCACAGCACTGCTGGCTACTCACACTGCACCTCTCCCAGAGCCACGGCACGGAGGGGACAAGGCTGCCCCGGTGCCATGGTGCTGTGCTGCTGCTCCCCGGGCCCTTCCCAGCTCCTCCCCGGGGTGCAGGGGCTGGGAGCATCCCAAAGCGCTGTCCTCATCTGCCACCAGCACAGCCGAAGAGTCAGGTCACCCCACAGCCCTGCCCATCGCCCTGTGCTGAAAACTGCCGGCTTCTGATGGGGGCTTCCCCGTGCTGCAAAAAACATCCGTCTCTGTAATGTCCTAAATGCCTTTGTGGGTTGCACTGGGCACCAGCATGGTCCCAGAGCCCTGATCCTGTCTGCCCAGCTTTGTCTGACTTGCCCATGGGGCAGCTCCATGAGGGCAAGTGCAAATGCCTTTTGTTGTAGAGATAACCCAAAAGCCTGGCTGGGGAGAGCAGCCTCATCTTGCTCAGAGCACAGACTTGGGGTACAAGAGGGGAGCACAGTGCCCCGTGCCATGACCTTCTGGACAGAGGAGCAAGGACCAGATGTCTGGGAAATCCATCAGTAGAGCAAAGTCTGATGAAGACAAGGCCATCCAAATGCTGAGAGCAGGGAGCTGTGCTTGCAGCCTCCCCAGGAAGGGCAAGCCCCAGCAGTGACAGAGAGAGTGACTTCTGCTCCACTGGGCAGTTGGCTCTCGGAGCCACACAAGGCAGACATAAGCCAGTAAAGAAAAGTTTTCTGGCAGAAAGGGCAGAAGAACAGTGGAAGATGGTCTGTGGAGGAGGTTAAGGAGAGGCATGACAAATACTGGGCACGGGTCAGGCAGACCAGCCTGCCCCAGGGCAGGGACGTCTCCAGAGGCACTTGATGTTCCGCAAGTTCTCCTTCTAACCCAGCACTCCTGCCTCCTGCAGCCTCAGCCCACACAGCCTCAATGTCCCTGTCTTGCTGCACCCCCCCACACTCACAGCCCCCAGCCTGACTGCAGGCAGGAGCTGGAGCGGAGGCTTCAGGCTTGACCGAGTGCATCTTTTTTAGAGAACTGTGAGCCCAGAAAGCACTTAAACAATGAACCTATGCAGCACTGCTCCTGCCTCCCTGGTAATGCACAGGGAGAGGTTTCTCTAATGAATGCTGCAGGCAGCAATCCTTCATCTGTCCTGTGCTTCTGAGCTGTGGGAGGGCAGTGGGCACTCTGATGGGAGTATTGCATGGGGATGGATCTGGATGAGGGCAGCTGCCCTGGCAGCCTGGGGATCGGTGAAGGCAGGGATAATAAGCATGAAAGAACCCAAGCCTCGTGAGGAGGAGGCAACTTCAGAGAACATCGGAAAGCAACAATGGGAAATGGGGTGAAAGTGGTGCACTTGGGGACACTGAGGTGAGTGCAAACCCAGAACCATCCCCACTGGCAGCACGGTGCCAGGATGGCAGTGTTTTTGGGGTCCTGCTCCTGCCAGCAGCTGTTCCTGCAGCCAAGCAGCCTTTCTGCCTCGCAGCCATGCTGTGCCAGCAGCTGATAACACAGCTGTAACAAGTCCAGCTCTGTCACTCACCTCTACAACTACCCACCATTGCTCCACAGCTCATAAGAGAAATTACAGATTAAGTGCTTCCACGCCTTTCTTGCACTTTGCACTGTCACCTCCCTATTTCTGCTGTTGCTGCACTCAAGGCCACTGCTGTGAGATGTTCTCTGCATTGCCATTGGCTGCAGCCCCCAGCCCAGTGCTGCCCTCCTGGCCGCTCTCAAGGGGCTGCCTTGGTTTGAGCGTGTTGGTACTGGAAAAAAAACAAAGCTCTTGTGATTCCTGCTCTCCTCACCCATCAAAAATTCATTCTGCTCACCTCGTGTGAGTGCCTGTTACGCTGTTTAACTGAAAGCTGACTGTGGAGTGACACTGTTCAGGCTGATAGGAAGGATGTATGCTCTTATCTGAAGTCCCTAGGAAGATTTAAGCTCAAGTTTAGTAAAAAAAATAAAATCAGTTTTCCTTAAACAGGAGCATCTGCACCAGATTTATACTATCTTAAGCAAACTGTTGCAATAGTGCTGACGCCAGTGCAAACAGCGATAAAGAGGGCAGGGATCTCAGCTCCTCGCAGCCATCGTGCTCAGCACGGTGCGGATAAGAGAGGAGCAGGAGCTGCATCCAGTGGCCAAGCAGGAGCCTTTCCTCCGTGCTGCCCCGTCCTTCCCTGCTCCTGAGCAATGCGGAGGAGCCATTTCCATCCTCCAGGAGCTCAACAAAAGCACCCGGGCTGGAACAAATGGTGAGTCTCACTTCTGAGCATCGCACTCTGAAGTAGCAGGGCACAGAGGTGGCAGCGAGTCCCCAGCCACGCCAGAGAGGCATCCATAGACCCTTCGCTGTGTGCACGTACACACTCCTCTGGTGGGCAGAGCTTCATTTTCACAGCAAAACATGAGCAGCAGCTGAGCTAGGCGCTGGCAGATCCTCTGCACAGAGCACAGCTAATTATTCCCAAGGCGCTGCTGCCCTGCCCAAGAGAGGGACCAATATGCACCCAAATGGGAGACAGAGACATTTTTTGTCCTATGGAGGCAGGGATAAATGCTAACAAATTCTCAGACCTTTGGCTGTTACGAAATGACAGCAACGGCAAGGTGGGAGCTGAGGCTTTTCAAACCACAGACATACCACATGGCCTCCTGCTCTGTGAGAGGAGAGCTTATTGACCAGTCACACACCAAATGGTCTTAGAAATAATAATCAGGAGTATTCCTGAACGAGTCAATGTTCAAATGGCACCAAGTCTGAACAAACAAGCACTGCGGGTGTGTTATCCTCGCCCTAAGCACTACATACCCAAGACATTCAGAGCTAAAAAGAAGCAGGGTGGGTGCGGGGGAGGGGGGGAAGCCTCAGTGCCTCTTCACAAGTTATTCAATTAATTCGAGTCAACAGACACCAGTGCAGTGGCCGGAGCTGAAGGGCAGCAGCAGCGTCTGGGTGCTTTAATCCTCTGTGTGTCACGCCTGGATGCCCAAATTGCTGGCTCTGCCCGTCCATGAGTCAGCGGGGCAGGAGGCACATCCCCGCCAGCTCCCCAAGAGCCTCTTCCATGCGGGGACCCGCAGTTGGGCCACCGAACGCATCCACAGAGAGACTGCAAAGGAAGTACCATTGAGCAGAGCTGCTGCAGGGCAAAACCAGGAGGAGAAGGTGCCTGAAGTGCTTCATCGTGTCTTGTGCCACCCTTTTTCCTGCTTTAACCCAGGCCCTCAGGAGCTCCCATGAGGACTCCAGCCCCAGAGGGGCCAGGGAAGGAAGCACTTTGAAGTGGCTCGGTGTCGCTGGCACAGCCTGCGCCGGAGGCGGCGTGCAGAGACTCCTTAATGCGCCAGCCCTTTCAGAGGCAGCCTTGGCACTCAGAGAGATGGCGTGTGAATAGCCAGGACAGCGACAGGAAAAGCAAAGCAAAGAAACCAAACGACAGAACTCAGAGGGGGAAGGAAAAAAAATAGTTGCTGGAAGGAAAGAGCTCCCCAAACCTCTGAGCCCAGCTGTGCCAGACTCACCAAACATGGGGTCATGAAGAGAAAAGCAGTGGGAGCAGAGGACCCGCTGTGTAAGTCACCCAGGATGGCAGTGGGGAGGTAGGGAGAGCAGCTTCAGCCTGGCAGGACACTCCCTCCTGCACCTTTCAGAAGAGCTGGTTGGCCTGGCAATGGGCATCCTGGGGCAGCAGGGAGGATGGAGTGATGCAAGGAGCATCCTGGGCTCTGCCTGCTTGTGCAGGATGGGCTGTGCAACCGAGGGAACACCCTGTGTGACCACGGACTGAGGCAGACTGGGAGGATCTGGTTTGCGGGTCTCTGCTCCCCGGCCCATGGCATGGGGTATTGACCTGGATCATTCCAGGGACTCAAGCTGCAGTGCAGCAGGAGGAGCCCCGCATGGCCCTGGAGACAGTGTCGAGACAAAGCAGAGCTGTGTCTGCTCTGGAAATGCTCTGCCACCTCCGGGAGGCTGCAGCTCAGGAAGAGTGCAATGTGAAGGGGTGGAGAGCAGATCCTGAACTTGCACAGCCCTGTCTGTGAGCATATGCATGTGTGTATGTATGCATGTATGTATGTATGCATGTATGTAGCCCCATCAGCACAGCCAAGGGCAGAGAAGAGACTGGGGAAGAACGTGGCAGCCATTACCTGGTCAGGTGAGGAGTGATACTCTAACGGCAGAGCTCTGGCTGCTGCTGACCATGCATACAACAGGGAGAAGAGCTCGATCTCCTTCTAAACCCAGATGCTCCCCTGAGTGGGTCAGAATCTGGGGATGGGAGGAAGGCAGTTGCCTCCTCTGGACAAAGAGGTGAGAGGCACAGCCCCTCCAGCTCTAAGGGGAGAGGTCTCTTTGGGAGCTCTTCATGCCCAGAAGCATGGGGAGCATGGGCTCAGCTGTTCTGAAAGGCCTGGAACAACAGGAGCATCCTGCTCTGCCCTGACCCCGAGCCCATCTGCAGCCCAGGGTGGAGGCAAGTGGGAAGCGGGCAGCAGCGGGCAGGGCTGCTTGGGGCCCATGGGCAGTTGCAGCACAGAGAGGAGCACGCCACAGGGCCAGAGAGAACCGACAGGCACCCTCGCACTCTCTCACTCTCTCTCTCTTTCCTCTCTGTGCCTCTCTGCCGGTCGGCTTGCTACATACCTCCTTTCCTACATATTTTCTTGTTGGGCTTTCGGGTGCATTCCTTGGAAATCCGTTTTACTGTAAAATGAATAAAAGACTACAAAATAACAGGAGGCTCCACCGGCTGGGAGTGGGCATGCAATCACAACCACGCTGCCACCCCCCCGCCGCCCCGGGGACCGCAGGAGGTGGGTGGGGAGCGGCGCTGTGGGAGGAAAACTCTGGGCCTGCCATGCTGGGAAGGTGCAGCTGAGACCTCCCCGGGATGGAGGAGTGGAGCCGGTGAGGCGAGGCCTGCTCTGTGCGTCCTGCCCTGCTCACCCCAGGGCTCCCGCGGTGGTGAGGCTATGGCAGGCGCATGGGCAGAGTGTTGCCTCCTCTGCCCTCTACTTACGGTTCAGGTGTGATGTCCTGTGAAGGAAAAGGTTAGACAGGAGGCAGCCAGTGCTGCTCGGCCTCACCACCGCAGGACCAGGCCTGCTCTAGGCTGTGGCACCCTGTGCTAGGCTTCGGCACACTGCACTAGGCCTCGGCACGTTGTGCTAGACCTCAGCACATTGCACTAGGCCTCAGCATGCAGTACTAGGCCGCAGCACATTGTGCTAGGCCTCGGCACACTGCACTAGGCCTCAGCACACTGCACTAGGCCTCGGTACATTGCACTAGGCCTCGGCACACTGCACTAGGCCTCGGCACACTGCACTAGGCCTTGGCACACTGCACTAGGCCTCGGCACACTGCACTAGGCCACGACACACTGCACTAGGCCTCGGCACATTGTGCTAGGCCTCAGCACACTGCACTAGGCCTCGGCACATTGTGCTAGGCCTCAGCACACTACGCTAGGCCTCGGCACATTGCACTAGGCTTCAGCATATTGCACTTGGCCTAGCCATGACACACTAGGCCGCAGCTACTTTGCAATGTCCCTCAGCCTCCTGCCTGCACCAGAACCCCCCAGAAAGGGCTGCTGTGCCACCAAAAAGGGCTCTGTGTTCCCTTCTTGGCATGAGCAGCCCAGCCCCACGAGAGGCAGAGTGTTCCTCCCAGCAGCAGCCACAGCCCGTGCCCACGGCTAGCACATGGACCTTGGGGTGGGAAAAGGGAGGAAGGACAAACCCGAACCAACTCAAGACAGAACCTGGCACTCGGCGCCTGGGGAGCACAAACCAGCTTGTCGCTCTGTGGATCTGCGGTCAGAGAGTCTGATTCAGATTTAGCAACACAAGAAAGGAACCCGTGACAATGCCATGGAGGTGGAGGAAGAAAGAAGGGGAAACCGAGAGGTGTGGAGGGGCAGGAGCACGTGAGACAAAGATGGCAGCTGAGGGCAAGCTGAGTGGCCAGAGGAAGCTTTTCACGAACAGACAGCATGCTGCAGGGTCCACAACCACATGCTTCAAACACAACACCCAAGTGAGACCAACCGCTGCTGGGCAGGGATAGGGGCAGGGCAGCCCCCCTTACCCTCCCAGAGCGCTCGCTCCTGCAGGTGCCCCACCGGGGACTCACCATCCTCCGTGGGGATGTAGATGTTGAGGTACAGACAGTCCTCGTTGGGGTCCTGGATGTAGGTGGCCACAATATCCAAGTTGGAGGTAAACCAGATGGGCAGCATGATCTCAGGGACGGCGTTGTGGATGTTCTGGGGGCAGACTGGCGAGAAGTGGGTAGCGTTCCTGATGCCTGACCAGGAGGGAGGTGGCTCTGGAGGCATGAACCGCTTCTCCCCAACTGGGGGGGCGGCGTAAGGCACCCCCAGGTACTGATCCACGGGTCCCAAAATCTCACTGGGTAGTGGCACACGCACCCCCCGTAGCTTCCCATAGTGAGTGTTGACAGTGGGAGAGTAGACCTGGCCCTCCATGCGCACAACCACCGAGGCGAAGCTCAGGACCCAGAGGGCGAGACGCAGGTCCCAGCCGGCCACCAGCTCAGGCACTTGGAGAACAGGGGGCAAGAGAGGGCTTCTCCAGAGTATCAGCCACATCGTCCGGGAGGAGCAGCACCAACATCCAGGCCTGAAGCTCCTGGGGTGAGGGTTCAGTGCATCCCCATGACAGCAAGACTCCGGTTTGTCCAGAAGGAACAGCCAAATCCGTGGGGCAGGAGAACCCAGCGACTCAGGGACGCTGACCCGGAGAGACTTGTCACTGCTTCTCAGAGCCTGCAAGCTGCCTGCTGCGGTCCCCCTTCAAATGGCCCAACTTGGCAGGGATTGCTGATGCTGTGGAGAGATGGAGGGAATTAACAGCAGACATCTTGGAAAGGGTGGTAGAGCTGTGGGCACCCAATCTTACCTGGGCACAAAGTAATGCCCTGCTCAGAAGCCCCTGTCCTGCTTTAGGGAAGGAGCCAGCGCTTACCTCCCCAGGTGAGAACCATGGCTAAGATGCAGGGGAACATCCAAGGTGCTCTGGGAGACGGAGCTGCCAATATGCCCCAATCACGTGCAGACACACAGAAAGCACCCATCTGACATCAGACACATGAAGCCCATCCTCCATGCCACCAAGGGATTCCCAGCACCACAGTGCAAAGTGCAGGGTGAGCAAGACAGTGACAGCCAGAGTGCCCCAGGGCCACATCCCCTCCATGCCACTGCTTCAGTCCTGCAGCCCCTCCGTGTCACTCCAGGCAGGGCGGTGGGGGACACGGATAATGGGTGGATGACCAAGGCCAGGGATCCACGGCCGTGTGTCAGCACAGAGCTGCTCCTGGGGAGCCCTCGCTGGAGGCTGCCTGGATTCTCAGCGCACTGCCCTTCCCCTCCCCGCTCCTCCTGCTGCATGCAGGGCTTATGTAAGGGCCTCCCCGCCTCCCCCCAGCTCCCTTCAATGTGCACACCGAGGCCACATTCACCCATGAGCTCCCAGCATTGGTGAGAGGCCACATCCTAGCCTCACTAGGTGCCTGTGCACTGCTGAGGGCACTGCTCAGGGAGGGGAGCAGAGGCTGCTGGCCTTATCTCAGCCACATCTCCTTACCCTGACAGGGATGGCAGCAGCGACAGAGCACCTCCATTTTGCCCCAGAACATCCTCAGGTGCCCACCTGGTAATTCTCTCCAAAGCTTGGATGGGAGCAGAGCTGCCTTGGAATAATTGGAGCACAAAATAAGGGCTGTGTGCAGATGGAAGGAAGATGCTCTGTTAAAGGCTCAGCTGGGCAGGGACTCCACAAATGGAGAACACCTCATCCAACGGGGAAAATCCGCAGAGAAAAAAAAAAATACACGGAGGGCGTCTCAAATCTGCACTGCACATGTGCAGCCAATTCACTGCCGGTCATTAAGGAAATGGGCCTGTGCTGTGCCTGCCCTCCTGGCATGCCCAGAGAACACAACAGGCTCAGAAATCAGTGTCTGACAGGCATAATAAGAAACACTCAGCCCAGAAAATCATATTGCTGCATCCACTCCGCCTGAGCAGCAAGGCTAGGAAAGCAGACGTGCTCCACAGCCTGCAGACAGCAGCAGTTCCAGATGGGGAGGGGGGTGGTGAGGTTCAGCAGCAAGGAGTGGCTGCACCCACTGCAACACCCAAGACCTGGACAGAAGACCTACACTGGTATTCTATCACCAAAACAGGTGCTGAAGCCTATGAAACACAACATAGGAGCAAAAGAAGCATACAGGGAGGCAGGCGAGATGTTCTGATACCCTGAGCACTGCTGTTACTGAACCACTGCCGGCGCTGCCATCACTACCCCAGCTCCAGAAAAAAGCCATCATTCATCCAACGTTCTCTGCAATGCTTCAGCACAACACTGAACTCTGCCTTGCAGCGTCACAGAGTGCAATGAGACTGGGCCCCCACAGCACGTTGCAGTCGCTGTGTTCTTGTGTGGGTTCTGGAGCTGCTTCAGACCCCACTGCTGCGTGCAGCGCTGCTGGAAGGCAAGATATCCAGCCTACATCATCTGCCCAGGTTCCTTTGGATGACACATGTTAGGATGAAGCCAAATTATTAATGACTGTCATATCTCATTGGCATGCCTGGAAGCTACAGGCAGCTTTGATAGCAACCGTGACTCCCAGCAGAGCCATTTCACTGCCCAGCCATCGCTCTCACTCTCCAGGAGCACACACACCACAGCCCTGGGGCTTCCCTGGCTCCATGCTCTGCCAGAGCCATGACCATGCATTGCCTTGGGCATGGCTACTCCAGCAGTCTCAGCTGAGGGTTCTCACAGCACCAGGTATGGCAAAATCAGGGCTGAATTCACCGCCCACCTCCCACCCTTGTGGATCCGTGGGTCACTGTGACAAAGAGTCCATAACCCAAACATGCTTCTTCCTGCAGCCCTCTGGAGTTCGGCTATTATGATATTCTAATCCTCACCCATGGCTCCTTTAACAGCTCTTAAAAAAACAGGGGAAAAAGTCTGTTATGATAGAATTAAAGTTCCAAGTACACATCCATAACACAAATAAAATTATGCTCCAGGATTTGCAATTGTCTCAAATTATGAGCTTTGTGAAGCATTAGAGGTGAGTTGCATTAGCAATAGCCAAACATGTCCTGATACAGAAATGCACAGCCAAGACCCAACAACCCTAATGTTACCTTGGAGAGCCACAACACGCTAACAATAAAATCCAGATCACGCTATTTTAACATTTGTAATTCCAGATTTGGTTCCATCATTTTTTAAAGACCTTTTTCCTCCATCTGCCCATGTCCCCACTGCGCAGAATAAAGGCACCCAAACAATCTCAGCAACACGTTCCCAAGCCTTCCTATGTTTGGATTGTTTTTCAATTACAAAAACAAAAACGATGCAAACCCTAAATCTGGAACTCCCTGGGTTTCAAATGCCTCATTTGGGATGATTACAATACCCCCGGAACACATCTTACCCTCATATTGCTGTTCTGCGCTCTGCACTCTCCGCTGTAACTTTGTGTTAACATAACATTTAGGATGGGAATTTAGCCTTAATTTAATATTGACAGACTGCCATGAACACCAGCGCTCAGCCCTTTCCACCGAGGGCTCAGCCGCCAGCAGTGCTGTTGGATGCAGGAGCCCCACATGGCCGCCTCCACTCTGCTCAGTGGAACTTCCCCAGCCTTCCCAAGCACGTGCAGTAACAGAGATCTGAGCTGAGACATTCTGTTTGGGGATGGTTCATCGCGTCCCATGAGATGTGGGAGCTAAGCATCCCCGGGGTGAGCTGCCCAAGGCTTCTCCTGCCGCTCCCATGAGTGGTTGAGGCTGCCAGTAGGAAATGGAGGCTGCCAACTGGAAGTGAGACCCGGCTCGCCTGGGCAGATACAGCCAAGCTGGGGGTACCGAGATGAGCGTGTGAGCGAGGAGCCTGGAGAATAAAGACACTGCGGGCATCCCGGGTCGTCCTGCCAGACCGCCGAGGGCGGGTGGTGTGAGCGGAGGAAGTGAGGCTGCTAACTGTTAATGATTTTATTCATGCATCTTGGAAAACAAACGCTGTATCGGTATTTCCATGACTGTACTGTCTGCCAGGCTGCTCCCTCCCCAACAACAAGACGCTCTCCATGGAAACCTGAGCAGGCGGATCCCGCCAAGCTGCAGTTGCAGATGCACAGCCGGGCGTCCCCGCGCCAGCCAGATGAGCTGGATCCACACCTTTGCCAGTGCCTGGTCAGCGATGCTACAGAAACCCCACAGAGCACAGAAGCTGCAGCACCGCTGGGCTGATGTGTCCCTGTGCCCCAGAGCTCGTGCACACTAATAGGTGGTTAGAGGTGGGTCTCGCTTACACTCAGAGGAGATGCACAGGGTTTCAGGCAGGTCTGCCCTGCTGCTGCCACCGCCCAGCTTTTCCCTGCATGATGTAAATGACAGTACAGAGTACATTTTAAAATCTGCACTTGTCACCCAGTGCTTTAGAGGCCAGGGCTGGAACTCAACAGACAGGCTAGAACAAGGGCTCAGAAGGGATGGGCATGGCCAGGTACCACTGATGGGAGAAACCAACAGCGTGAATGCGGGCTGGGGGGAGAAAAGGCAACAGCACTGCTGCCAGAAGGGTCACGGGGCTGCACAGATGGAGCATGAGCCAGCATGTCACTGTCAGGCAAGTACAGAAGGGTGAGAGAAAGGACAGCTTATAAAGATGTATGAAGTGCCTTTAATTATTCTGCTTTCCTCCAGCTTGCAAAGATACATGAAGCAATTATGATGGTCTCCTCTGAAGAGCCACCTCACTCCTCCAAAAGATTTGGGCCAGCTGAGATGGACTGCAGAATACCAGCAAGGCTGCAAGAAAGCCCAGGGAGCATGGCCTCAAACAAAAGCCTGGGAGACCGGTGCTGGTGCAGACAAGACATGGCAGCAGATGCAGCTTTATAACATGTAAAGGCTGCTGCAAAAAAAACCACCCACAACAGTCTGATGCTGAACTTGGTGCTAGGCAGGTGACAATTTCACATTAAGAAAGGAAAGACAAGTGTGCAGTAGGAAAAAGCAAAGGCACAGTTTTCAGCAAAGGGCACTGCAGGGCAGGTGGAAGGACCAAGTGACACCTTAGAATCATAGATTCATTCAGGGTGGAAGAGATGACTAAGACCACCAAGCCCAAGCCCAACCCACCCCACCATGCCCATAACTAATGTCACGTCCCCATGGTTCTGGAACATCTCCACAGACAGTGACCCCACCACTCCCTGGGCAGCCTGTGCCAGTGCAGCACTGCTCTTCAAAGAAAAATTCTTCCTAACCTCCAACTTGAAGAGCTGGATACCTTTGAGTCCCTCCTGCATGGTCCCACACACTTTGCATCACCCTGACTGGCCTGTTCTGTCCCTGCCCTCTGTTTGATGCCATCCAGGCAAACAACAGCCACCTTGTCCATGAAACTGGCAGCATTTGGGAGGCTCTGATGGGGCAGAGCACTTCGGGAGACTCCCAGCAGAGCGAAGCCCACCACAGCTGTCCTCTGTGCTCTGCAGGTCTTTCCCAGAGCCCAGCATCATCTGCACAACTTCCTATAGCTCAGCACCTCAGTCACGCCGGTGGTTCAGAAGAAAAGCAGCCACAAACCTCACCCTTATTTGCTTCCAATCACCAGGTGCTTCCCTGTGGCTTGCCTTTCCTAACTTCTACCCACAGCATCACAATGCTTAAACAAAGCTGAACACCAGAAGCCTATGAGACACTTCACTGCGCATCCATTGCCCTGGGGAGAAGATGAGAGACCTCACAAGGAGTGTCAGTTCAGTTCCTCAACACTGCAGGAACATACA